AACTCCAGTTTCAGGGGATCCAATGCCCTCTTCTGGCCTCCATGAGCATTGCAGGCACATAGTATAGACACATACATGCAGGCAACACACACACATAAAATAAAAATAAAGAAATCTTTAAAAATATACCTTGCAATATTTTGGAAATGAAATCAGGAAATAGCTCAGAGAAAATTCTATGGTGATTTCCAAAAGCACAATGACAGAAAGAACTGAACTTCACTACATAATGAGATACAAAGCCAGTTCAGTCACAAAGGGGATAAATACTTGAAACATGTCTGTGCTTTTAACGAAGTCTGCACCAGAGGTCAAGCACAGCAAAACAAAACAAAACCAGAACAGAACAATTAGAAAAATTAGCACTTACCCATATTTTGCAAAATTTGCCCAACGTTTCATTATAGATCGACTCAAAATTTCCTCAGCTTTTGTATAACTGGCTCTTCTTTCCAGAGGTAAGCCAAAAACAAATTCAATTTCATAGCCATGTACTACTCCCATCCATTCTGGCCAAGGAAGTTTAGAAGATCGGTGTTCAAAATAGTAGAAAAAAGCATTATTTCCAAAATCTGAGAATTTCTTGGTAAACTCCAGTGCAGGGCATATGATGTTATAATCACCTACAACATCATCTAAGGCCTCACGGTAAACTTCCGGTGTTTGATCATCTAACCAGTCCACATAATAGAAAAGGATTGATTCCTTCCCTAAGTCACTCACTCCTGGGAAGAATACATTCAAACCTTCTTGAAATTCCCTTCTTGTGATGATGCTGTTGTTATCCTTGCTGAATCCAGGGGCGCTATACACTAGAAAAGCTGTCCCCTCGTCCTTGTTAACACCCACTAGGATCTCTGTTTTTTTCACTTGTCCGAGTTGGAGAAGTGTGTGCGGTATGTCAGTAAGAAAATCCCCATCCACTGTTGGACCAAAATTTACTGATAAGAGTGAATCAGAGGGGAGAACGAATATTTCATTCAGAAGAATTTCCTGAGGATCTTTATTTTGAAGACATATGATCACCTCAGTCTCATTGTCTCTAGAGCATCCAGTAAACTTAGCTAAGGTCAGGGACTTGTTTCTGGCTTCCTCTGGAGACATGACTGCCCAAGGGGCATTAGAGGATCCACTTTGTAGAATGGCTCTGGTGAACAAAGGGTGGCTTTGAGGACAAAGCAAATGGAGGCTAACTGACGCTGCTCCTGCACTTTCTCCAAAAATAGTTACACTTTTAGAATTTCCACCAAAGGCAGCTATGTTTCTTTGGACCCACTGGAGTGCTAACTGTTGGTCAAATAAACCCATGTTTCCTGGAGCCTCAGCATTGCCTGGTAAAGCTAGGAATCCTAGAGCACCCACCCTATAATTCATGGAAACTACGATAACTCTTTCAACCCGAGCCAGAAACTTGCCATCATAAACAGGTAAGGAGGTTGTCCCTGTTTGAAAGCCACCCCCATAGATCCATACCATGACAGTTGCATTTTTTGGTTTAGGTACTGGAGTCCAAACATTCAGATACAAGCAGTCTTCGCTAAGGTCTGTGTTTGGATTCCACATTTCTGATCCGTGGAAGCCTGGAAAAGTCTGATCTGTGTTCTGATAGCAAGAATTTGCATATTTTGTGGCGTTCCAGACTTCAGACCATTTGTTCAAGGGTTGAGGCTTTTTGAAACGAAGTCTTCCAAGAGGAGGCTGGGCATAGGGGATGCCAAGAAAGGCAGTGACCATGCCACCGAGAACAGGCAGGCTCAGCCCTCTGACCTTGCCAGCCTTGGTTGTGATGATGATGTCTTCTTCAGTGTATGACTTCCCAATAAATGCACAGAACAGAAGAAACCCCAAGAGGAATTGCATCTGTATGATGGTTTGCTGGAGCTCCATGTTGATTTCTAAGAGGAAGTGAGCAGAATTTTTTATAAGCCTTGTGCATGCAGTATTATGGCTCAGTGATGATAATTTGCCAAAATACAGTCATTCTTATTCATTCTATACTTAAGAAAACTAATAAATATGTTACCAAACCAAATGTGTAAGTACTAAAAAGAAAATGGAGATGTTTTAGTTTAGAAGAGAATTAACAGGAAGAAGAGTAGAGCTCACTTTGGAAATATGCATTATTGTACAAATTACTGTAAAGAGACAGCTTGTCTGAGGTATATAGGGTATTATCTACCATACAGAGCTACACACAAAATATGGCATTAGCAAGGGGTGGACCTATATCATATGTTGTTTCTACTGAGATTGCAAGAGCAAGCACACATGTTTCTCAACTATAGTGCCTGGATAACTGATTCCAAAGGTCCATCAAGAACCCACTGCCGCCCATTGTTTATTCTCTTTGCTTGGTTCATGGACATTTTTATGCTCCTTCATTATTTTAGTGGATTCTTCCTCTATACAATCTTACTGTATTCCCAAAATCAAATTGAGAGACCTGTTTAACCGCAGGATGCTATGTACCAAAATATAGTAATCGCAATGCTGACAAGAGTCAACACTGATAATCCTGTTCCACTATGAAAGCTTGCATTAGAACACAGGCTACTGAGGTGGGTTGGAGATAAACATCAGACAACTTCTCTGAAATTTGCTTGATCAAAACCAGGAGATTTTCTGCCTGAATTACAGTCCCATGGTGAGAGATCCAGCTGCTTTTATGTGGGAGAAGATACTGGCTTAGAAAGAATTTCACTCCCCACACATCTGTTAATTTCTTAACTGATGAAAGCATTTGCAAGTAGTTAAATGACAGCAGAGTCATGGATACTCGGGCTTGAACGATGGACAAAAATCACTGAAATTAGAGGGCCAATGCTCAGACCCATCTGTGGTAAGTGGAAGAGGCATGTGTAGACTTTGTCAGTTACAAAACATACATTCGCTATCTTAGCAAATACTATTAATTTGTGGAAAAGAGACATTTGAGAGATCACAGTTTTATCAAAAACTTGTAATGCAAGTCTGGGTTTCTTCTAAATAAAAGAATAATACTGTACTAATGTGATAAAAATCAACATTAAACATAACACAAATATTTAAAGGAACCAATGGTCTTATACAATTGCAAGAAAGCATTACAGCAGTCACAAGTACTCATCCGCCTAAATACAGTTAAATACAGTCTTTCCTTTTTTTTCTAGTGTACTAATTGTAAACCCCCGATTACTTAAGGAACTCTGTCTTCTCAGCACTGGCTGGTTTTCTGTTTGATGCAGTTTGTTTCAGAAGGCAGTGAGCAAATAGCATACAAATCTCAGAACTATGTTCTCAGACCGAGAAGAGTGATTTTTAACTTGCTTTTATTTATTAAGATTGTGAGATGATGCACATATTCACTAGCATGAATGTGAAGGTCAGAGGACAACTTTCAGAAGCCTTTTTTTTCCCCCTTCTGCTCTGGGATCCCAATCCTGGGAGACAACTCAAATTGTCAGGTTTGCAAAGCAGGTGGTTTTACCCACTGAGCCATGGTATCAAGCACTACACCTAATAGATTCTACTTTTAATAATTTATATTTTTATTTTATGTGTATGAGCACTATACCTACACATGTTAAAGTGCACTCATGTCATGCAGTGCCCACGAAGGTGTCAGATTCCTTGGAACTAGAGTTACAGACAGTTGTTAGCCACCATCTGGATGCCAGGAATCGAACTCAGATCCTCTGCAAGAGCAGTCAGCCCTCCTAACCACTGAGTCATCTCTCCAATCCCAAGATTCCAATTTTAAATCAGCTTAACTTAACTCTGCTAACAAGAAAGCTAGTGAACACCACATAAACTTCAACCCAGGAAAATGATAAACTAAATATGATGTACAACACATTTTGGAGCTCAGTAAATGATCACATGTAATATAATTTTATCAACATTCATATGTCTATGCAAATACAGTTATATATAGGATGATTGCTATGGCTGTAAGTTAAGTCTCTATAATCAAGTCACAGATATCTTTTTTAACATTCTCTGTTTTGACACAATTGAACATGCCCATTATTGAAACATATGTATGATAGTAAAGTATTACAGTCAATGAGTATAATTTGTTTTGTATGTAATGATAACCAGACTACATGGAGTAATAGAAAAGGCTTAGAAATCTGATCATTACTAAGGCACTTTTATACTCTGAACAGACGGTTTGAGGTACTGGATTGTTCCTGTGGGCCTTTTTATCTGTTGTTCCTGGTAATTGTAAAGCCTTTTATCTTAAATAGATGGGGGGCTTGCTGGCAAGACTGCCTAGAAATTCATGAGCCCAGGTCTATGGGACCATGTCTAACAAAGCACAGAAAAAGATCAAGCCTCCACACAGGCAAGGACCATGGGAGCACATCTGCACACACAAACACCACAACACCAACACATAGTCATGAACATGTGCACACATGCAAACATTTCTTCAGTAATTTGGTTTCTTTTTTGTGTTTGAAGAGGGAAAATTACCTCTATCATATATTTGCTTAAGATCTTACTAATAAGTATGGTATTTTTTATTATGCTTTAAAGCACCTGCCATCACATCTTAAAAGTTACAATATTCCGGGAGTGGAGAGATAGCTCAGCAGTTAAGAGCACTGACTGCTCTTGCAGAGGATCTGGGTTCGAT